AAATATTTTGTAACAATCTTTATAAAATTCTATAATTATCATATATATCTGCATTAAGCTCTATGATGATGATCGCTTTCTTTTTCGACCATTGTACATGTCAAATCGACAATAGGGACAATTTGCTTGTACTTTCACCCATTTAGAAATACACTTGTTGTGGTAAGCATGATCACAACCTAGGGTTCTTACTTCATCACCCTCTTTCATATCGTTTAAGCATATTGCACAAACGTCTTCACTCTTCAGAACCAAAATTCTTATTGGACCAAGTAATGTTTCTTTTTTCTTCTTAGTCATCTTGGTTGTTGTTGCAGTCTGTGTGGTGGCAGCAGTTTGTTGTCTCGTGTCCTGGCGCAGGCGGCCGGTGCGGCGCATGGCTATAAGCCCCAAACTTGTTCCGGGGGGTGCCTGGAACATTGGTACTGTTGCAGTCTGTGTGGTGGTAATTTGTTGTCTCCTGTCCTGGCGCAGGCGGCCAGTACGACGCATGGATATAAGCCCCAAACTTGTTCCGGGGGGTGCCTGGAACCTTGGTACTGTTGCAGTCTGTGTGGTGGTGATTTGTTGTCTTGTGTCCTGGCGTAGGCGGCCGGTGCGGTGCATGGCTAAAAGCCCCAAACTTGTTCCGGGAAACGTTGTGGTGGTTTCTTCTCTCGACAATCTTGGTGGTATACTGCGAATAACTGGTGCATTACTCATGACGACGACAACTACTACTAATCTACTCTACTACTAAATAAAGTTTTTTCTTTGGTTTTAATGCAAAAAATATTGAAACCAAAGTTTATATAAATTTTTACAACTAAACAACCCTAAACCTATAAATAAAACCTATAAACAGCCCAAACAAGCAGGGCCAATGTATTGGGTCGTTGGGTCCATGTATCTAGTTCATATTACCTATTGGGCCAATCCAAGATAAGGCCTGCTGTCTATGTGGAGCCCATGGGCATGTGTTTCTGTTAATTAAGAACAAACATGGAAGATACTAATACTATTATTGTCTGCTAATAAATAACACCATGCATGCACAAAAAAGTTCATAACATTAAATATAAATCTTAACAACATGTTGGTCAATTTAGAAACTGATAACATGTTAATTCTCCATTAAATAAAATTAAAAATTTTCCAAAACAAAGAAGAGGACATGTTAAATCGACAAGAAGGACAAGTCGCTTTTTCTTCGACCCACTTGGAAATACATTTGTTGTGGAAAGTATGATTACAACCTATGGTTCTTACTTCATCACCCTCCATATCCTCAATGCAAATTGCACAAACGTCTTCACTATCAAGATCAATGAAAACTCTTGGACCAAGTAGTTTTTCTTTTTGTTCCTTTGTCATCTTCTCCTTCTTTGGGAATTCTCTAAAAGCACTATGTCGTCTCCATGTTGTGTCTGTTTCTGCATCTGATGGTCCAAACATCCATGGTGGTGGTACTGTTACTATACCATCAGTAGTTAGCGTTTCAGTAATTGTTGAGACAGTCTGTGTAGAAGTACTACTACTTTGATGTCTCCTCAGAGTAAAAGTGGTGGTTGCTTCAGTTTCTACGTTGCTGTTGCTTCCTCTCAACATCCATGCTGGTATATCTGGTGCAGTATTATTCATGATGGTTACTACTACTAATTAAATATACTTAATACTATCAGCTTCTGATCTCTTTGGTTTTAATGTGAAATATTGATCAAAGTTTGTAGAAACTAGATATAATGAATAAGGTTTTGAAATCTTTATACCCATATTTATACAGAAAAGGATTTAGAGAGGGAATAGAATTCTTACAGCAATCCAAATTCGAGTACAATTGTACTTCCAGAAGAAATTAAACATGTGGCCACACCAAATATGTATTGGGCCATTGGACATTATATCGTAGCACAAAGTTAGGCACTGGGCCAATCTAAGATGGGAGTCTTAACATATTTATAAAGCCCACGGGTAATTATCTGTATCTGTTGAATGTCTGTTACAAAACTTGGAGAGCCCATGGGCATTAACTGATGAGATTTCATTTATTACATTAGTGATTGATATGCAAATTTTCTTTAAGTTGTTTATATCTAAAGACTAAAAATATCAAATGTAGAGACGTACCAGCTTATGTGATGCACCAGCTTGTTTATGCACACATAACATTTTACTAGGATAGACTTAGACAATAGACATGCAACTTAACAATTAACAAAACTCCTATTAAACAAATCCAAACTTTCAAGGATGTATACAGTGGTGGCAGACTAGCAGTTAAAACAAGATACATCCCATCATAACATTTGCTACCACCTACAAGCACCAAAACTGTAGTACATCACCTTCGATAGTTAGACCAGACAGATTAGTGCAAGTAGTCTCAAACAATAGGATACCCTCCCCTAACAACCATAAGGTTGGAAACTTTGAAAAAATGGAATTGGACAAATTCGACTACATACAAGAAGAATTGGGGAGTCTAACAAATTCAACTTTGCAACAAAGGCATTGGACAAATTCTAACCAACATCCAGAGCATAGGAAATACTATATCAGCTTGCACTGTACCACAATCAGTTCAACATGCAGGAAAGGCACTACATTAAGGTGTTTCAAAATCTGCTCATGCATGAGCCTGGAATAAAATTAAGACACCGCCAAACTTAGATCTCAAGTTCTAACTGATTGTATTGTGCAAATAAAAATCGAAGATATAACAATGTTAAAACCATACATGCCATGTCTTCCTAATGGTTCACAGATAAGCTCAAAACAAGGTGAGGCACTCACAAACAAAACAAGAAACTACTACCAAAATTATAGTTGACATCACTTTCTACCAGGGATCCTAACATTCTGCCTGTTCCTCTTCTTTGCACCAGATTTGCTGACCTTAAGGCTCTTGTATACAGCACTCAACCTTGCGAGGGCAGCATTTTTCAAATCAGGCCTGTAGTGGTTGTCTCCAACCTGCATCACAGATTCACACGATCAATGCAAGAGGTTATGCAAGAGATTCAGAATAATTCAAAAAACAAGTTTCACATCTTAATGAAAGTGTCCTACAATGGAACTAACAGACAAAGCAATAAACAAAAAAAGTTCTACAAAATGGATCACAAAACAATAACTAGAACAAAGTACTGCATACATTGTTGAAGCACGATGCATATTTCATTGCTAGAGCTTATAAGAAGAATAATTAATTATTTTCAAGAATGGAAAACAAATTTGTATAAAGAATATGAAGATATCAGACATGGAGCAAGCTCAGAATCCAAGCATAACAAAAACTTCTCATTGAAGAGCACTTCCAATGAGCTCGGCTGAAATGTTAGGAGAGCATCACAGCAATTTTTAAGAAATAAACTTTAAATACACATTTACAGACTTACATTCAATAGCATTCATGTCGCATAATCTAGTCAATCCAGAACTAAACATAAATAGACTGTTATCAATTGATTTATTTCTCATTTACATTACATGTTAGCCTCCCAACCATCAGCTGAGTGATATAGCATAATGAAAGAAAGAGCTCAGAAGCCAAGCGTAACAAATACATCTCATTGAAAAGCCTTTCCTAGGAGCTCTTCTTATATGTTAACAGCTCATCACAGCATCAATCTTTCTTAAAATCTAATAAAAAAAATCAAATAA